ATCAATTTAACCCTTTAACCCATAAGAGTGACTAGCATGAAGAACCAATAGGAATTCAAAGGAAAAACATGCACCCCTCCTGAAGCGCGGGAAAACGCGAAAGACCAAGTCGTGGTTGGTTTTAGTTTTGCATCTAATTGGTTGAGAAAATGGCGCGAGTTTTCTTGACCAATAACATAACGAAGCTAAGTTACACCAATGCAATCCCACATCACTTTGCATTGAAAATAACTCTAACTGAAAGAATCACTTCACCCAGAAAAAAATACTACAGTCAGTTATTCAAATGATAGGCAGCATTTTCAAGGATACATCTTCCTGTCAATTCAAGCGAAAGGGTGATATATTCCTCCACATTGCCAACCAAGTACGCACACCTGCAACAAGATTTAAGAAGACGAAAGATATACGAATAAATAAATCTAAAACTTGAAGTTGAGAAAAACTGTTTTGAACGTTTTACACCAAAAATTGCTATTCATAAACAACCTCTTGGCAATAATTTGACGTTAAACACGAAGACGAACTTTGATTTTTGGCATTGTAGCAGTCCAACTGAACAGACGTGGAATTATTCCGTCTGTCCGAGTTGGCTGTGTCCGTGTCGTAAATGAGCCAAACTTCCACCAACCTCGACGTAGTATCCCTGATTCTCACGCTTGAGGGCTTTTCAATAACGTGTTGCCAACCACAACCAAGGTAAACCCAACAACCAATCACAGTGAAGATAAATATCACAAGTGATAACTTACAGAGGAAACAAGTAAGCTGCCTGAAGCGCGGGAAAACGCGCGTTAGCAATGCGCCATTGGTTTCAATTTTACACCTGATTGGTTGAGAGGGTGGCGCGTATTTTCAAGACCAATCACAAAGCAAGGTAATGCAAAACCAAGTAAATTCAGATTATTTCAACTGAAAATGTTTACATGTTGAGTTCTCAGAAACAAGAGCTGGAGAGTACAAATCTTGTCTCACTTACTACAAAACAACAGTACCTCAGTGATGTGATTAAAACTGACGTAAGAAGTGACCACCATTTTTCTCTGCGGTAATCCCAGGTGACTTTTCCCAACAACCTTAAAGAAGAAATCTACGAGGGTTATGAATAAAGCCCTGAAAAATGCATATCTAAATTACATTTTGGTCTGAATTCCTCAATAAAGTTAAATGGAATATTAATCAACTCATTTTGTGGTATGTTAGCGTCTTTTCACGAAATTACTTTCACGCAACGGCCTCCGGCCGAAAGAAATTTCATAGGAAGACGCTTCAAACGGCCTGGCCTGCCTATGGTACAATACTTGATCACTACTGATTCTAAACTGAAACATTCTCTTATGCTACACTCACAATAAAGCTTTACTGTAATCTCTAGCATGGTAATACTCTTCACCCATCTGAACCACTGCAGAATTAACAAAAAAGACTTGTTGTTAATGTGAACATGAAAGAACTTCAGAGCATACAGTAGAAAATGATTAGCTTGCCCAGTTATCCATATGCAATATTAATCATCATTGTAACTACTATTCAACATACAGTTATATCCCTATGTTTTATCAAGTATTCTTATTGCATATTATTGTCGTATTGATAATTAGATAAGAAAAGCCAATAGACCTTGACTATGTACACTATATCACTCTGCTTCATAAATTTAATAAAAAACTTTTACAAGCACTACATGTACATTGTCATGAAGAAACAAAAGCTTTTAGTTGCATCTTGCTAAGTTCTTAACCCTTTACACTCTAAAATCAGTCTATATATTCTCCATACTGTTCTTTATACATTTCCTAAGGTGCTGACAAGGATATTTTGTTCACCAATCAAAAGCCTCTTTGGTTGGTGATCATTTCCTTTATTCTCATGACCTTAACATGTGATTCAGGGCTGATATTTTAGGGAGAAATTTGATGATGGTCACTCTTAGGGTTTAAAGGGTTAAAGTAAAAAAAGAGAGAACTTACTCAGGTATCTCTTCATTCTGGGTGATTTGTACTTTTTAAACTGAGCCACTGCACTACTGAGAAGGGGAATGATAACCCACTGGGAGAAAAAAAAAAAAAGGAGCCAATATTCTAAGTACCTCAACCAAAATTAATATACAAAGTAGGTTAGCATAAATAAAGAGATTGATGGTAAGAGTATTTGCT